CAACCAAAAAAAAAAAAAAAAAAAAAACAGAATCTACTGAATAAGGACCTACATGACTGAACTTTTTAAAAAACTGTGGTGAGTGATGTGTGAATAAGATGTACTCTTTAGGATAAAGACTAATTTATTAAGACGTCTAAATGTTTTTCCTCAAAGTTGTCAGATACCCTTTATTAATAATAAAGATGAGTAAGATGAGATATAACCTATGAACAATTTATATTCACTTCAAAAAAATGTGCAATCCCAATTCTTTGTTATTATGAGAAACCCTAAAATCTTCCCCTTTTAAAATAAGTCTCTCATCTCTCCTAGAGGATTAAAACAGCTGTCAAGATAAGATTTACATGAAATGATCTCTCCTACTATTTTACACATTCAAAATTCTATTGACAGCCACTCTATTACGTAGCTCCTACTGCTAAAGCATGACAACTGGAAAGCTGAAATAAAGTCCATATGCTCTCCTTTTTTACTACAAAGCATCTGCTTACCTATACTCAAACCCTGAAAAACCTATAGTCACAAAGCATTTAGATCATAGTTTTTATATTATCATCTTTAGAATTTTACTCTCATGACGCCTTTCATAAATTCTGCTATGAATATTTATCAAAAGCCAGATTTATTTCCTCTCATATGTAAGAATTTATTCCATGGATCCTAAGAATTTAGGGACAAAAAAAAGTTCATGAATTATCCTCTTATTTAAGGATTCAGAGCCTTTTTAGAGTATTGTAATTTCCTTCCTATTTCTCTGATCAGCTTTTCCTTGTCACCTCTTGCAGTAAAGATCTATTCTCAGAGCTGCTCATACTTTTTAAAAATCTGCAACCACAGTGTTGCCTATGCTAATAAAAAGGTGTTTTCTCTAGCTCTTTTTATACTTTATAATCTTACCAAAAAGAAAGGCATCGTCAATTACTTCAACTAATAATTAATAAAACTTAAGACAATAATCACTTTAAAAATTAATTTGGACTTCTATTCGCATAAAGCAGTTCACTAGGGCTATATGAGGATTTAGCTTTATGATGTAGTGCTTGCCTAATATTCAAAACTCACAAGGCCCAGTTTGACCCCCAGCACCAAGATTGGAAAGGAAAAAGAGAAAGCAAAGGAAAAGCATGTGAAAGAGAAAGCAATTCATTAAAGTATTTTATTTATAATAAGCTAAATATTTTCAGAATATTTCATATAAATTTCTGTATGTAGCATAATTTTCAAACTCCCTGAAATAAAATTTAAATACATCAGCTGGTACCAAAAATATTTACCTTATACCACTTTATTCACAATACTTCTTTGAAAACACACGTGATGCAACTACCCATGATGCCTTAAAATGAATTACTATTATCTCTGACCCACATGAAATTACTTTTTGTTCGAATATTCAAATATCAATATATTCAAGAAACTGTAGCCTGATTTCAGATATAAGCAAGAAAGAGTAAAACAATTCACTAACCTCATTAATCAGGAACTGGAGTTGGATTACTGCAGCTCCACTGTCATGCTGGCAATAACATTCTACTCCAGGACGACCAAAGCTATTATTAATTCCATTAAGGAGTGTTCGGTGTATGTAGGTGTTTTTGTTTAAACTGATTTTTAGTTATATAAAGGACTAATATTCTAATGACCTACTACTATTCGAGACAGGCCACTTATTGAAGTTGAGATTTCAAGATAGATTTATTACATATTAGGATTCACAGATTACAGGTCTACAAGAAATAAGAAAACTATTCCTTCTAGAAAAAATAAAGTATTAAAATCAGCAATATACAAAAAAAAAAAACCGTAAAGTTAATACACTTTATTCTGATCCAAGTCATTTTCTTCCTCTTAAAATACAAAAAGTGAAAAGATAATTAATCTACAAAACACTAAATTTTGCCCAAATCAGCAAACAAATATAAAAGTGGGCAAATGTCATTCCAGAATATTGCTTTTAGTCCCAATAAACATTTTACTCTCATTTTTCTCAAAGTTATTGATTTCATTCTTTTACCTTTGAATAGAAAGGTATTATGCAGCTGCAGCCAGTTCCAAAAATCCTACCACCAAAATGGCCCTATGCATTGGATAAAGAAAGGGGGGAGAGTTCATAATAAATTGTCACTTCATCATATCAAAAAGTTTAAAATTAAGGTTTTGGGTTTTTTTGTTGTTGTTTTTTTTTTTTGGTACCGGGGATTGAACTCGGGTCCTTGCACTTGCAAGGCAGGCCGCCGAACCACTGAGCTAAATCCCCAGCCATTAAAATTAAGTTTTAAAGAAGGAATGCTGCATACACAGTCATGAATGAAACAGTAGCATGGAAAAAGAACATAAAATTTCAAGCATGTAGTCCTCTACCTTGGTAGTATGCCTGAAATCCAGTCCTACCCTAAATGTCATAGACCCAAATTGCCAGAAAAAACACCTGAGTAGGTTAGTTAGTTTATTTTAGGCACCACAGTAACATGTGAGGCACAGTGAGAACTGAAGGTCTCTACTTTCAAGTCAGTTCATATGCTAGCTCTGTCATTACTTGGTGTGGGGAAAGGAGATGTGATTATTATATCTCAATTTTCTAATCTATAAAATGTAGATTAGATTTATCTAGTCTAACTTACAGATTTGCAGTGAAAATTAAACCATATAAACTGTACACAAATGGCAGTCATTATCATGATTTAACAATATATTCATTACATCAACTAAATCTAAATGTTTCTGCATATTGCACATGAAGAAAAAGACAAGTTTTATAAACAACGGAAGAAAAAGTCCAGTATTTAATTTTATAAATTACTGGTTCCTATAAACTTGCATTTATGCATCAATTATAAAAATCATTAGCTTTATTACTTATGCATAAATAACACTATGGTGATAACAAGTTTAAAAGTACATTTGTTTGTAGAATTTAAATTGGATGAGATTTAGGGAAAATAATATTGAGTTTTGAGTGTTCGTAATTTTTAACATGTGTTGTTTGGTAAAATTAAATTGTTCAGGAAACCCTCTTGTCCCCCCAAAAATAGTCATAATAGAAAAAAGAAGTCACAATACATACTGTTCACTCATTTTCAACTTTCAGAATCAAACAGAAAGTTTATACTAAATAGACATAACTGAGTTGGGAAAAGAAAGGAGCAAGGAAAAGGAAAAAAGCATGTGAAAAGTAATGCATTAATATGCTTATTTTAAAAGATGGGGGAGCAAGAACTAATATGTATAGAGCAAGAAATACTGAATTAACTATAATAAAGCTAGTGAAATTTATGGAAGTAATTAGCAATGAAGGTAAAAATCATGACCTGAATATAGTGGGAGCAGAGGAGAGATATGAAGCAAGTATTCATTTATCAAAGCAGGAAATCAACAGATAATTCCTAAGGTTACTAAATTAATAAACAGTGGCAAAGCATTTTATTTAAAGTTAGCAACATGACCAAAATCAGTTAAATAGTTCCCTCTAGGGAGCAGGAGTATGCATGGGCAAGGCAAAGCATATGCTTTTCATTTATAGACTCTGTTACACTAATCTTTAAACCATGAATACAGCTTTACAAATTCAGTTTCTTTTAGTATGTTTTCAAGTGGAGAAAAAAGTGTAAGTTCAGAATTAGACAAAGTATTGATTTATTATGTTACTACAGTTATCTCACCAACTTATACTATTACTACCAGAAAAACGGAATTGAGATCCTTGTTCCCATGCTGCTTCACACAATGCAACTAAAAGTCACATGTCAAGTCTTTCTGCCTTCTCCATAACCACAGGTGTTTTCTTTCCATGTCCTACTTCTTTATTATTTACAAATTTGGGATTATTAGGTATATTGAAGGGGAAACAAATCACTGAAGAATCTAACTTGTCCCAATGCTATTCCATGCTGTAGCTCCCAGGAAGTAAAAGCAGCAAGCAACAGAATGATATTCCTTGACCCATTCACTGACTTCATTTTTTGATAACTTTAATAGGCATTAAGGATTCGAATGAAAATCTGTATCCTTCAGAATCTCTAAGTCTACCAATAGAAATACAAAAATAATTTAGCAGTTAAATTCACAGATATCCTAAAGTAGAAAAGAATTTTGTGGGTAAAAATACTGATTGAGAAGAAAAATTATTTTTCAATTATTTTCAAAATATGAATTCTTATTTAAGATGTGAGCATTTCCTACACTGTTTCAACGTGCCCAGGTGGTTCTTTCTTCTTCTTGTTAAAAATTTATACTGGATTCTTTATGTATACATTTCATTCCATTGGTACATTCTGTGACTGAACTATATGATTTTTTTTTTTTTTTTTTTTTGGTACCAGTGATTAAACTTGTGACCTTGCGTTTGCAGGGCAGGTGGCGGCACCACTGAGCTTAATCCCAGATCGCTATATGACATTTTGAAAACAATCCATCCTATGGGCTAGTATCCTTTAGTGAAAAAAGGAACATGGCAATTGGATCTCCTTATCCACAGAGCCTGGAAAAGTATATGGCACATAGTAAATACATATTTATGAATAATTAAGAGTATGAATATTTATCAGTATCTATGAATAATTAAGTGTTGTAAATCTAAGAGACATGCTTATACCTAGATATATCCTTTTAGCTCTAATATTAGTAATTTTTTTTTGAGACAGGGTCTCACTGTAGTTGAGACTGACCTGGAACTCACTATGGAGCCCAGGTTGGTCTCAAACTCACAGCGGTCCTCCTGCTTCAGCCTCCCAAGTGCTGGGATTATAGGCATGCGCCACCATGCCCAGCATTAGTATGTGTTTTGAAAAGCAAAAGAATACGATAATATATATTCTAGTCCTACCTTTACCAACAGATTGAAGTACTCTATCTCTAGGGTGTATATCTCTTAAAAATTCACAAATCTACATTTATAGCCTGACCATTTTATCTTCCAATCATTTGCTAAATTGCTATTATAATCACAGAAACAGTTTTTCTTACTGTTTATTCTAGCCTCTGGAATTGTCAGCAGGGTAAAATGAAATGTAGTAAAAGCAGCAACCAATGGGACCAGCCAAGGATAAATTCTGAAAATACAGTTCCTGGGCAAGTTTTCAGTGCTGTCACTACCACTGTGAGTTACTAAAATGGCTGACTTGCATACTGTGATAACCTCTGCTTTTATGTGTAATGTACTATCAAGACTGGTATATACTTAGAAAACTATTAACATTTTTTAAGATTGTGGATCTTCCAAAAGTATCTTTCATCAATTCCTGTCAACTAAGACAAAGAAAGTCATGGCATTATTTTAATCTCTACAAAGGTGTTATATTTAATTTCCTAACCTAGGTAGGCATGGAAGATTTTGTAAAGTACATATAAAATAGAAAGCAAATGGAGAACTTTGACATCCTGCATTGTTTATGAAAAATACACATTTATAGCCTGCAAAGTTTAAAGACAAGTATAGGAATAGTATATTTTTATGAACTCTTGTCTAATAAATTATTCTACAGTATTATGTATTTAATTATATATTTGTGAAAGTAATTTTCTTTGAGCAGATACTCTACTGCCAATCTAAGAAAGATTTTTAAAGGCTAATTGTTTTTCCTTGCTACAGTAGAAAAGGTAAAACCAAGAGCATAATTTTAATCCATCAAAAACAACAGTAACTTCTCTTAATACTTCCTCTACTGCATTCTTATACTTTCAGCATAGAGTACCTATACCATACCTGAAAATATACTAGTAAGGCTTGAAGGTGTTATTATTCCAAGATACCATTTTGTAAACAAAAGGTCAGTGGATGACTTTTTTTTAATGGCATAAGTCTTAAAAGAGTTCAGCAACAAAGTTAAAATATTAGTACTACTGTAATATGGTCAAAGAATGCTAATGAAAACATTTGTGAAGATAAAAGAGGATGAGCTTTAGAATAGGATCAATACTCATAATTTTGTGTGAACACAAATAAATCACTTAGCATATGAGCTTTGTTTTCTTCATCTGTAATTCCACACAGTTATGATGAGTAAACGAAAATGACCAAAAACAGGGGTAGCACACCATACATTTACTGAAGATCATATAACCTATTAACAAATTAAAAATTGGAGCTCAAGAGCCAGGCATGGTGGTGCACACCTGTAATCCCAGCACTTGAGAGTCTAAGACAGGAGTATCGTTGTGAGCTCAAGGACAGCCTGGGCTACATAGTGAGTTTGAGACTAGCCTGAACATAGCAAGACCCTGTCACAAAAAACAAAAAACAAACAAACAAACAAAAAAAAATGGAGCTTAGTGGTAGAGCACTTGCCTAGCATGTGCAAGGCCCTAGGTTCAAACCCCAACACTATAAGTGAATGAATAAAATTGCTATAAGTTGCAAATTTCCAGAGAAAAAAATAGCAAGACTTAAGTGATTTGTGATAATTAAAGCAACTTATCTGTGCTGCAGTTTTCTCATCTACAAAATACCACCTGATCATTGTAATCACCTGAAGTTTAGACCTTTTTAAATGTCATAATTAAACTTACGTAGTCTTTTCTACTATGATTGTTTCTCGTGTTCACTGATAAATTG